GTGAGATAATCAATTTCAGACATATAAAGGGAATATAAGGGGTATCACTGTTAAGGATTAAATTGGGATAAATGAGCAATCACTTACAATAATTTTTGTAGTATCCTCATTGGTCCAAATGGTCCTGAAGTGGTAACCCAAAAATTGTCAGTGGGAGACTGACCCAGAATCGCTTCCACTTAACTACTGCTACTGGAGATGAAATTAATTGAGTGTTCCTGGTATTTCAGCAGGTTGATTGTCACTGATAGTCCACTGATAATCCAATAAAGTGATTGGCACTGATAATCCAATAAATTGCTTGGCACTGATAATCCAGAGTTTTCTTATCACTATGTTCAAATTTTTTCACTTGAATGTTCGATGTTTGTTCAGTTCTTAAAAATAATTGGAAATAACTTCGACGATTTTGTTCGAAATCTTCCGGTTCGAGGATATAGCAATGGATTAGTGTCGATTTTTAGATCACTACGGGCCACTACTATCCTACCACGACTGCGCCAATTAAGTTTGGGAGCTTCCGAAATTGATTTTTAAAAATAAAACTTTTCCGAAAAACTCAAAGTTGAGTTAAAATTATATTTTATTAGCAATGTTGAAGCCAAAGGTACAATTATAACTAACTGAAATAAAGAAAAACTCATATTTATAATATCGGGTAAGCTTGGGTAGAATTGCAGCGTCTATTGGATTCCTGGTATCCAGCGTGAGATACTTAATGTAAATGCACTCCGGGAATTGGCCTTGGCTATATCTATAACATGGGTTGTCCATACATAACACTTGTAAGAATGAGACCCCGTTAGAAAAAAATTATCCACATGATTCATGAAGTTATGATTTTGTTGATTAACAAATTATAATCGGATCTTTGCTCTCACAAATAGTTGAGCTTGAAAAATTTCATCTCGTGAAGCTATTATATGTATACTCAAAAAGATCATGTGGTGCAAATTGATAAAAGTTCACTATTTTGTTTATCACGATTTCTAAGTGAAATGTTCCATACATATCGAAGAGATGAGAATAGAAAAATGATCTGATTTTGAAGTTATTCATCATCAAATGACAGTAATTAATCTCATTTACGTAATGTGTTATTAAATTGTTCGTAAACAAATAAAATTCAATAGTTAAGAAAAAAATTTTTTGCCATTTTTTGGAATGGAAAAATAATGATTTAAAATATTTTTTTAAATGTTTTTGATTGTTGATGATGTTTTTTTAATTACCATATTGTGGATAATTGATTAGAAAAAATGTTTGTCCAAAAGACATTATTTGCATTTTTCAACACATCGCATCTCAACAATGTAGAGATGCGATTATAATTCAGGTTCTGAAAAATGGTAACGACTCGAAAAATATCCACATCTATCGCCATATTCTACTCACGAGTTGTCTGAGCGAAGTTTTGGAGAAAATGGTCAGTTATAGACTACAATGGTATTTTGAATCGAATAAATTCTTATCAAACGCACAAGTAGGATTCTAAAATCATAGATCCACTATCGACCGAGCATTCTCATTCGAAAATAGCATCCTGAGCAGGCTCTCTAATAAACCCCACGTTACTGCCATATTTTTCGATTTCGAAAAAGCTTTTGATATAATATGGCGCTACTCAATACTAGAACACAGGTGGAACTTGAAGGAAAATATGCACAAGTTCCTTAAATATTTTCTGAAACACAAAATGTTTCAAATTTGACAGATCTTTTGTCCAATAAATATGTCTTAGAAAACGGGATTCCGCAAGGTTCCACACAGACTGTTCTCCTTTTCGCAATAGCTATAAACCCCTTCTTTCTTGACAACATCAACAAAAAGATGGGACAAAGTTTAGATGCTCATGATCTGACCATATTCTACTCAGCTTCATCAATAGAGGAAACTAAAGAATTGTAGAGAATGTTCCACATTGAAAAAAGTGAGTTTTTTCAGAACCAGTCGCTATTCATCACTTTTTACTGAAACATGAATTCCCCCTTGGAAATATAGCAGACAACAACTCCTCTCGAATTACGCCGTTAACATTTTAGCTCAGCTTAATCAGCCTAATTACCAAACATTCAATGGAGACAGTGATGATCTTTACGAAGGTCGACCACGATAACAAAACCAGCTGAAATAAAGTTCAAAGAAAATTTGAATTCAGCTCATACAGTTCCAGCGATTCATAAGTATACCCACTGGATGTGCAATAATGTGCATTTACTAGCCGATGTTCATCTCATATTTGGAGAATAACGACACAAACAAGTGCTTGAAGGTGATTGATAATGTTTCATGATGAATTTCAATAACAATTATATTAAGCAAAAAAACCCTGAAAGGAAATAACAGTGAAATGAAGTACAAGTAAAAAATAGAATGATAAAAAAAAGAGGATTCCAAGCCAAGTTACTTCACGACGTTTCGATTGGTAGTATCCACAATCGTCTTCGGGTGATGACTGGACTAACTCCTCTGAGAGATGACTACTTATGGGTCATTCGAGTATTTTTACTTATTTCCTCTTTCCGCTTCACCGGTTTAGCGGGAGATTGCGCGCTTGATTATGGGTTTCCATATATTGCGAATCTCTACACTAGCTTGGCTGAATACATTGTTGGACAACATGTATACGGCTTCTTTGAATTTCCTCCAAACCAGTGTACCTCCCTGTGTATGATCTAAGCTTGGGACCACTCGATGTTATGTTCATGGGTCCAAACATGCTCTGCTATTCCTGATTTGCTAGTTTCCCCTCGTTGTGGGTGTTTTGTGTGCTCGGTAATGCGGACTAATAATGGCCCCTTAGTTTCACCGATATAGGATTTTCCACACTCACAGGGTATCCGGTAGGTATATACAATTCTTGGAATCGCAGTCTGTGTTTGGTGGCCTGGTTTTCGTGAAGCTGCTATGGATAGTGATGACAGTGTGCCATGTGAGTGAAACTTTACCTCTTCCATATATGGTCTAATCAATAAGCTTTCAAACGTGAAAAATGAAAATGAAGCCTCCAAAAGAATGAGCAATGGATCATTCAGTTCGGAAAAAGCTCTAGAAAAATGAATTCCAAGGATTTTACAGTGAATAAAAAATTACGATTATTATAAACATAATAATTAAGGACAAATGAGGTATTCCGTTTGTTTGTAAGTAACATTGAAATCATAATTATTTAAGAAACGAGACAAAGAGATCATGTTATGTTATGTTCTTTGGTCCAAACATGCTCTGCTATTTCTAATTTGCTGGTTTCCCCTCGTTGTGTGTTTTTTGTGTGCCCGGCAATGCGGACTAATAATGGCCTCTTAGTTTCACCGATATAGGATTTTCCACACTCACATGGTATCCGGTATGTGCAATTCTTGGAATCGCAGTCTGCGTTCGTTGGCCTGGTTTTCGTGAAGCTGCTACGGATAGTGATTTACTTCATTACTGTGTACACAGTCTACACTATAGACACGCCTGAAGAAGCTATTGTATAGTGAAACACGTGTTGCGGTTTTGTGAACTGTGTAGTGAAAATCTCACAATGAAGTGTTTTTCAAATATGTTATGGATTTTCATCAAAAATAGGTCGATTCCATCAGATCTCTAATCACACGCTATTTTTTAAGCAACCTACTTTGGCAATTCCACAATTCAACAAAATTTCCCATTTGTACGGACTCACTACACGCACTTGAAAACTCATTTAGTAGGTAATGATCCACCATAGTTCAAATCATATTAGCATCCATTCACTGGACAAATGAAATTGGAAAACACATTGAATTTGCATGGACTCCTAGTCACCAAGCATCAAACGTGGTGCGAAAATACCTGATGTTTGTCATATTTCTATTCGACCGGAAGACGTTGAAAAATTCCCGAAATAACAAATTATGGGTGATTGGCAAATTGAATGCAGGAGAGTAGATACGAAATTAAAAGTGAAACCAGCAAATAAACCCTGGAGGCATTCCATTCCACAAACACGAAGAGAACGAATTGTGATCACCCGCTTTCAAGGAACACTAGAAAAATTACGCAATATTTTGAAAATGTCCGTTTTTTTGTTAAAATGTATTGGTTGGTGTTCGGAACCTATAAATTTTCGATAAATAAAAAATCCATTAATCAACCCTCCTTGAGTTGACTCATTCAGCATCTGAAAAAAATTGAAGTCGTAAAATTACACCTGACGGGTTTTTAATAACAATTGTATCACATTTTCCATCTGATCAGTGCCTGGCTGTACGTAATTGTTATTGAAAGTCATAGAGGAAAGTAACAATCAATTATTTCAAGTTTTTTTTGTTTTCATCAAGTATTGGTTGGAATTAAAACTAACTGAAATTTAAGCTAGGTGGAAAGGAAAATACGTACATGAATTTATCTCGGGAACATATCAAGTAATGAAAACTATGCTAATCATAACAATTTCAAAATAATCTTGTTATTTATAGATTTTCATTCCTATAAAATAATAGAAATCTCAAATAAAATATGAGTCAAACTCAGATAAGTATTTATTTATCCAACTCAGAAGTAATACTTGTTATTCTACCTTTTTGCTTATCAATTTCTAGTGAAATTGACAATTGACATGAGCATGTCAATTGTATGTGAACATTCATATACCCATTATATTTGAGTTGAAATGTGTATACAATATTTATAAAAAAGACATTAACGGAAAAACAGATTTTAAACAGATTTTCAAACAGGCTGGATAAATCTTAGTCTGATTTGGACTCGGTAATATTTCTGAGCAAATGTGTTAATTTTCCTTTCATATCTGAGATATTTTTTAAAATCAAAAGCTTTGTAGCTTTTGATTTTAATGAGAGAATGAGAATTTCTCATGTACTTTTCCAAATGATTTTCAGAAAATGAATTTTTGAGTAAGTTACTAAGAACATCAACATCATAATTGTGATTAATGGAAATTGCTAATCAGATATTATAGATTATCACTTTTGTTTTATTGAAGTAGATCAAATCACCTGCTCTTTTTTATTTGGTACACCTCAATATCTCAAGAGAATTGAAAATAATGCTTAAGTTTTTCTCAACTGTTCATGTGATTGTTGGATAATTCAAGGTCAGTCACCTACAAATAGGGCAGAGGAAGTAGTTAGAAGAGATGTAAAAATATCGAAATATATAATATGGATGACTGTCTGTGAAGTATACAAAATTGATTCGAAACTACAATTTCTTTATTTTCAGTCATTTCCTGCACTGATATGGTGCTAATTTAAAATCAGGGAAAAACTTGTTCATATTTTTTCGTTTCATTATTTTGGAATGGATATAAGCATTTTCAATCAATATGCACATTCCTCTATCGGCGAGTAGCTCAACTACTGTGGAACAAATATTTCTACTCACCTTATAAATGCAAATTTTTTAACCTTCTTTTTCTAGTTACGTGAAATCTACGACACTAGTCTATGGAAAGCCGTTTTACTTTTTATTGTCACAAATATTCATTCCTCAATTTATTCACCTAACAATTTATTTGTTTGAATTTAATTGATTCATGCATTTGTTCGACACATTAAAACATTACTTCCACATTACTTCCAAAAATTTCAAACAATGAATCTATATTATAACTTCGCATCTTTTCATCAAACACATTAATTCATGTAACATTTTAAATCGAGTGTCATTTAAAATAGAACAACAAATTTTGCGAACAATCGTTTTTAATGTGTTGAACAAATGCATGAATCAATTAAATTCAAATAAATAAATTGTTAGTTGAATAAATTGAGGAATTAATATTTGTGACAATAAAAAGTAAAACGGCGTTCCATACTAGTCCGGGAAGAAAGATTAGTATTCATTTTGAAAAAATGAAAAAAAAAATTCTGTGATTCATTGAGCTAAATTTCATTCTATAAGTTTGAATGTTCATGTGCATGCTTACTTTCGAACGTGCTACCTCTCTATTTTTAAAAAATATTCAAAACACGAAAGATGACAGTATCCTCATAGGTATTTGATTGATTTGGAATATAATAATTATTCGATGAAAATCATGAAATCATAGATATTCTGACTTGGATCTTATCATATATATTCTTGTCTATCAACATTTTATCAGGACTAAGAAGAAATTGCAGCTTTGACGTTTATTGAACGGTTATTTTTTATTACCTCAATTTTTTTCCATTTTTAGAATATTTATATTCATATTCATTTAGAATATTCATATTCTTTTAGGGTCTACAAAGGAATAAATATCTAATTATTTCCTTTCCGGTGGTGATGTACTATTTTTTATTATTATTAGGGAAGGCCGGGCAAAGTGGATACCTTAATATATTTAAGGTTATAGCAGAAAAGGTATAAGGTATAAAAACAAAATAACTAGTACAAATCGGTCTTCATTGTGTCAATTGTCTGAGCATTTGTTGCTACATGCGGCTCAACAGCGGAGACAATTTGGGAACATTCAGGTTCTGGCTGAGGTGTACATCCAATCTCGCTACTAATTTTTTCAGGTGTTTTAAAAGAGTCTGTAATTGGGGCAACAAGGGCTTCAAGCTCAAAAGGGGTAGCTCTGTTTAGAGATGGAATTATTTCTACTAGAGGATCCACTGGGTTTGGTGGAATAAATTCTAGCAAAAGCGAAGGCGAAGAAGAAGTTTCTGCAAAAGATCCTGGAATATCAATCCTTTCTGGTGAGTTTGTGCTTTCTGTACTAATATTCATGTTAGATGTTCCTGCAATTACAGCGGCTGGTTCGTAATCTTCGTCACCAAAAGCATATTTATTTACCCGCCAAATACCAGGTCTTTTAAAACCATAAACGGCATTTATAGCTACTGCACATTTCAGGAAAGCCGGTGATAGCAGTCTGGCCACATCATATTGATTTATAATGCGTCCAGGGTGAGATTTTTGGAAAGCATTTACCTCCCTTTCAAAATATGTTTTCAATGGGTCGTAAACGGCTACATCCATGGGCTGCATCTTATGCGTTGTATGTGGAGCCAAGGATAAGATTACGATGTTGTTTTTGCTAGCGTAATCCAAAGCTGGGTAATACTTATGGCTCTCATGGTTGTCCAATAGTAGAAGTATCTTTTTCTCAGGTGTAGGCCGAACATGTTCCACGAAGAAACGCATCCAATCAAGAAATACCTCTCCTGAAGTCCAACCATTTGGAGTACAGGTTTCTTGAGTGCCGGGTGGTGCACCATCAAGTAGTCTGGGTTGCATCTTTTTCCTGGCAAAAATTAAGAATGGTGGGAGAAACGAACCAGCGGCATTACAGCAACCGATGACCGTCGTTAATTGACCACGTTTTGCAATGGCAATTATGCTAACCTGTTTGTTTCCTTTCGTTGATAGCACTTTAGGTGGCTCATTGGTGGTTGTCGATATACCTGTCTCATCCATATTGTACAATCTAGATGCATCAATGTCATGTTTTGTAGTCAAAGCTTCAAGATTTTCATAAAAACGTCTAACTTCACGCCTGTTAAATCCTTTAGCTCTTGCAACCGATGTTGCTTCTGGAGTCCTCAGGGAAATTTGATTGTGGTGAGACAAAAATGACGATAACCAGTCATCTCCTGCTTTTTCGTACTTGTCCCAGTTTTTCGGATAGTTCAATTTATTTTTCTTAGCGTATATGAACGCCAAATTTTTGAACTCGTCTCGAGTTAGTCCAAAAAAAACAGAATCCATATCCTTCAGATATGTTAACAACTCTGTCTCCTGATCTTCATTGAAAACAGGACGGAATCGACCCAATTTTGGAGCAGTGATGCCGGTTTTGACGTGCCTGTACAAGGTTGCATAGGCCAACCCATACTTTTTAGCTGTGCTTATTATGGATTCGCCAGCTTTGCACAAATTAATAGCTGTTTTCATGACATTCTTATCCCACGATCCTTGTTTAGTTTTTTTTTATATTTATTAACCATCTGAAACAAATAAACAACATGATGGAATTACAAGTCAATAATAACGAATAGCGTGCAAAGTGAATACCATATTCACTTCGCCCTATTCTCTTTGCCCAACTAAGTAACTTTTGAGGTTAACAAATTTTGTACAAAAACGAATGATTCTAAACTTCTGTGAAAGATACAATAAAAACCTACTTTGACATGGTACTTTATTAAAATATTTCTAAAGATCAAGAACTAATAACACTGGAAATAAAATCAATATACTTACCTCGTAAAATCAATCTTTTTTTCACAAAAACACAAATCTCCACTCTGCGGCCGGCAAGCGACGCGGCCTTCTGCTTTAGTATTTGCCGCGCACTAAATCAAGATGGCGGAATGCCACTACGGTGGTGCGATGACAGTCGAATGAATAATTTAGAAGTAGTGGGAAGTATTCGCTTTGCCTGGGGTGTTCACTTTGCCCGGCCTTCCCCTAAGTATATTGCTGATTGATAACATAGAAAATATAAGTAAGCAACATTTTCAGCAATCTATCACAGCCGCCAAAGAAAAGAAAAAATAATGTACTTATGAGGTTTCTCTCGTTCCAGTAACAACCAATCATCTCGCAAAAATTAGACTGATTATGAAAATTGTTCTGAACGGGATCTTCACCATTGAGTTGAGATATAACTTTGTCGATCACAGATAGCTCTGCATTAATGCTGCTTCTGTAGATATGGAAACAAAAAACGAGCAAAACTAGTTCAGTCAGTGTGCGTGACTTCTTTTTAGCGTTGTCGCTCATGAACATTTCTTTTGAACATTGGGGATAATCCTGGTAACCTGTGAGGTCATTTTCTATTTTATGAGAATATAAAATTTTTCTGCACCAGACACCAAAGGTGACTTTTGTCAGATATATTATCAACACACTTGATTTTTGTCTTGCGAGTTTATCCTGCACTGAATTATTGATGACCTGAAAAATTATTTATCCATTTTAACAGTGATATAAAATTTTCCTATAACCAGAGGGAGGTGGGTAGGTGTGCCCTGAGAAAAAATTAGTAGTAATGATTTAACGTTCAAAAGTTTTCTCAAAACTATAACTGCCTTTGAGATAGTTGCATACTTTGAGATTACCTGCATATGGAATACACCAAGTTGGCATTTATACAAAATATATCTGATACATTAACGACAAAAATGATCCTCAGGTATGAATACCAGAAGGTATAAGTTCTCATAACATATAATATATGTGAGGTGTACCTAGAGAAGGAAAACAAATGTTTCCCGAAAATTATAAAAATGCTCATAGATTGAATGCAGAGGATTTCGAAGATTGAATCAGTACTTGCTGGTTATGTGTTTTTGAAATATAAAACTTGTTATTGTTAACTAGTTTCAGAAAAATTATTTTGAGAAGAATGTTCAATCAATACTCAATTACTATATGTGTAGAACAAATATTACTACTCGCCTCATGACTGAAGTCATGTCAATTGTGGAAACGTCATCTTATATACTTCTTATAATTCTCTACTTCTTATAATTTTCTACTTCTTGTTTTGTGTTGTATTGTGATTTCTTGAATTTCTGAAGTGTTTTGTATTTTGTTATGAATCTCAGTAAACTATTATGCAAATTGAGGATCTTCTTCATGCGAGATTCAACATTATTTTGGAACCTATTTTCGTTTATTTCATTCACATAATTGAAGCTTGTTTAATTCTGATCTCTAGCCTCAGCATTTCGTTAACGGTTTTTGACAATGCTGCTAGAATATGAAACCCTTTTTCCAATGTGATTGAGTAAACTGTAAACTCTACGTTTCCACGATGATATTTTTATTCGACAAGTTTCTATTATCATTGCAACCATAATGGGTTGAATTTTCCCAGATAATGAATAGTACACAGTTTGAAATTTGACTTTTCTCCAAGAATGCTCAGACTCTGCTTAGAAACCCAACATTCTTCCACCTTGGTCCACCGGTTCAGTAGCTTTTTGAAAGACGACCTTGTATTCTTTTCTTTGCAAGATGAATCAGTAGCACCTTAGAAAAAAATCCTTGCTCTGAAAGCCGCACCTGTAGATTATATCCATTTTGGAGTACTTTCCGATTGGGTTTATTGTAGAAGGCCGTGGTTCTCCAAATGAAACAATTCTTGGGAGGTGTAGGTGAAAATATATCGGGGTGAACCTTGCAGCGATCAATCTGAGTGGTCGAACGCTTCCCGTGTGACTACTTTGAGAAAAAAGGTAGGACTCCAACCTTCCTTTGATTTTCCCAGCTGTGAAGGAGGTTTGAGCGAGGATCTTTTCATGTGAGAAATATCCCAAGGAAGATCTGATTTTAGCCTCAGAAAGCATTGAAACTTGCCAATATGTGTACAACTTTATAGTTCGATATCATGAATTTATGAAAAGCAGACTTGGCTATTCCAAGACATACTGGTATTCGATTTGGGACCCAACAAATTGATCTATGCAGATATCGTAGTTGATATCTGAGCTGATTCCCGGATATTCGTTACATTGAATTGTAATTCGTTCCTGTCTTTGCAGATCAATTTACCCCAGATTTTTATCTACATATAGGTTGTTACAAACAAAAATAGATTTTCATTAAGATAAAATTTACTACCGAAGATATGTACTGACAGCATGATCATTCAAATGAAAAGTGTGGAAGAGTCTGTTGTCATCAGCAAAATATAATTTGGAACAAGCAATATTTCTGAGTAATACCAGTTTGGTGGTAGAAGTGGCTGAGAAAGAATCATCGATGGTTACTCAAAAATGTACCTGCTGGAAACTGTAGAACCCCAACTGTTTTTCCGCAGATTCCAATGCTGAGTTATGTTCTCAGATTTTACTAATATCTGTCTAGGGGAGTTGGGTCCATCTCAACTTGGATTTTCTTCAACTCCATTGAACTATTTTCCTTTGTTCCTATTCAAATTCACGAAGCTGCATTTTTTTTACCTGTCTTGTTATTCTGCGGAAGTCTAAGCGAATTTTCAGAATGTTTTCCTGAATTCGGTTTGATGGCCAGGAAATCAGTTGATGATTCAAACGGTATTCAGAAAAGTTATGATTTTTGATGAACATAAATAATAGTCCATTTAACACTTCAATTAATTATGGGTGTTCATTCTAGACTCAAGACGGGCTCTGGATATTTTGTGAATGAAAACTTTCTTGTGATTTCTAAGATAACCTTTTTTTATTTCTGAACCAACTTTTGAGGTTTTCTTTCATCAGTTCGGACTTCCATTGTCTACTATAATATAAATTGATTTCCGAAATAACAAATTATGGGTGATTGGCAAATTGAATGCAGGAGAGTAGATACGAAATTAAAAGTGAAACCAGCAAATAAACCCTGGAGGCATTCTATTCCACAAACACGAAGAGAACGAATTGTGATCACCCGCTTGGGAATAGGTCGTACCAACCTGACAAACATATTCATGCTCTCAGAAGAAAGTCAACCAATATGCCAACAATGTAGGTGGAGGCTAACAGTGAAGTATATCTTGCTAAACTATGTATAATATGATGAAGCTAGACATCGACTCAACTGTGTTGAGAAACAAATATTTCATTTTCAGAGGAAACATTTTTTCCTCAATAATTATTCAAAATATGGAAGTTGAAGAAGATCTTTATCAACAATCATTATTTTTCATTATGAAAAAGGCAAAAAATGTTTTCTCAAATATTGAATTTCTCTTTTCGTTTATGAACAATTTGGTAATAAATAAATCAAATCACATAATAAATCAAAATTAACTACTGTCATCTAATGATAAAAAACTTTGAAATGAAAACATTGAGAAAATAATTAGTTTTTCTTCATTTCTTTGATCTTTATTGAATGGAGAATGGAGCTAAGAGAAACACGGAATACCTCAATTTTCCCCAATTATTTTTTTTATATCAATCGTAATTACTCATACACAACGGAATCAATTGAATACATGTTTCTAGAGCTCATTCCGAATCGAATGAGTTATTGTTTTTATCTTCAGGAGCTTTATCTTAATTTTTTACATTTTTTGGCGTATTGATTGCTATATCGTGTAGCAATCCTCTTAATGATATCTGATTCAATTCCATAACAAATGTTTGAAGTTTGAACCGATTGAAAAAGTGTTTTTTTATAATCCAATATTCATATGAAAGTAGTTGTTTCGAATAGCCCATCGTTTCAGTCTGTGTCTTGAAGTTACTTCTTTGCATGATTTAGACATCTTTGAGAAGAGTTAATTTTGGAATTTATTGCTTTCTTCCTTCCTTTGGAAGATTCCTACACATTTTTGTATACAGATAAAGAAGTAGAAACCCAAATCCTTCCATACTATT